GATGGGAGGGTGGTTGTTGTTATTGCTCCTGTTTTTAGCCATTTCTTCAATAGGGATACATGGAATACAGGGTGTAATTTTGATGTTGCTGGGAGGTCAAGCCTGTATGCCACCGACCCAATGCGTTCCACAATCCAAAATGGGCCGAAGTACCTAGGACTCAGTTTGTTCCATCGGTGGCCTGCTACTAAAACTTGCTTGTATGGTTGTAATTTAAGGAAGACTTGCTCTCCAATCTGGTGCTGGATAGGCCTATGCCTTATGTTGTATGAGTCTGCCATCCATTGTTGGGCTCGATGGAGGTGGGATTTGAGATCTTGTAACACCCTATCTCGCTGGAGGAGTTGGTCTTCTACTGCTGCTACTGCTGTAGACCCTTTTTCATATGGGAGTAGGGGAGGTGGGTCCCATCCATATAGAGCCCGGAAGGGAGTCATTCCTGCTGCACTATGATACGTGGTATTGTACCACCATTCTGCCCAATGAAGCCACTTGAGCCACTAACGTGGCCTATCCCTTGCATAGCACTTTAGATAGGTTTCCAAACTCCGGTTGACCACCTCAGTCTGCCCATCTGTTGAGGGTGGTAGTTGGTAGATTTGAAGAGTTTCACTCCCTGTAGTCAAAAAAGTTCTGCCCAGAAATGACTCATAAAAATAGGGTCGCGGTCTGAGACAATAGAGTTAGGGGTACCATGCAGTCGTGCCACCTCCTTAGTAAAAATCTCAGCTACCATGGAGGCTGTAAAGGGGTGGGACAGAGGGAGAAAATGGCAGTATTTGGTGAATCTATCAACCACTACGAGAATGACGGACTTGCCATAGGAAAGGGGGAGCCCCGTTATAAAGTCCATGGATATATCTGCCCACACTTGTGTAGGAATTGGGAGTGGTTGTAGCAGTCCTACTGGAGACTGGGTATCCGCCTTATTTTTCTGGCAAATGACGCATTCGACTATGAATTTTTGGACCGAATTTCGCATGCCTTTCCAGTGGAATTGGGTGGCTAGTCTCTTGTAAGTGCGCAGGATCTCTGAGTGTCCTCCTGTTGGGGATGAGTGGAACACTTCCAGAAGCTGCTGAATATGGGCTGAATCCTGTGGTATCACCATTCGGCGTTTATACAGCAGCAAGTTATTCTCCACTGTGTACCCTGGGTGGCTAGTAGGGTCCTCTTGGACTTGTGAACGCAACTTGCTCAGTTGTGGGTGCCTTTCA